ATTTCTAATGTTTTATCAAACATGAAACATTGTCATGCTCTTTAGGTAACATCCTGGCTTTCTGGGATACTTTTGCTATTGATTTGTTAAATGCTTACAAAATCGTTTCACTTTGCTTTCACACCCTCCCTGTTTTTCTCTTTTACTATATAAAAATAAAAACTTAGAAAACCCCCTCACTATCATTAAAACTGCCTGTTTCCTTTGAAACTGGTTGATTACAGTTTTTTGGGTCAAGGCTATTCACAGTTCCTTTGCTACATAGTAAGTTTGGAAGAAATGTCAAATGAAAAAAATGTTTTATCTGAAACATTAAAACCAGCAAAAAAGAAGACTGCTACTTTGTGTTAAATGGTGTAAATAACTTGCACTTTTGTTTTTACTGAGTTTTAGGCCAGTTCTGTTAGGAGCAGTGCAGAAGGGATCAAGAGAAAAGAGGTTTTCAGCTAGTGTGCAGAGTCTACCTTATTAAATCTGCTGGTGAAAGAAAGTGTTGACACTCATTGTCTTTTTTTACCCTTTCTCCTAAGTCCCTCTGTGTCAAATGCACCCTTCCTTCAAAAGCCTCGAGTCCAGGCGTCCTCTCTCCCTCCCCCTCCTAGCTCTATCTTTCTCTCTGTGTGCCTCAGCTCACGTACACACCCTCCTGGAAGGGCATTGTTTGCAAAGAGTACCAATGTAGAGCTTTTCAAACACCCTTTACCTCTGCTGAGTTCATCTCAGTCTAGGCTCCAAGGTCAAAAGCGGGACTTTCTGCTTGTATCACACTATTTCAGTTCAAGCCAATAGCACAAAACACCATAATTATCATTGTTTTGTGAGATTATATTTTGCCCCTATCCTAGTTGTGGGTACATTTTCAAAAATCTCTGATGGCATTTTAAGTCTGTTTTGTGTAGTTTTTTTCTCTTGTTTTAGACGCTGGTGCAATAATCTCTGCAGTTTCATTATGTTCTGCTCGAATCGTGTCCTAGCTGATTAATCAGCCGACTGGCATTATGCCTAGCACAGTAAAAGGACAGAAATACAAAGGAAAGAGAGATAACTAATAACCGTGCCTCCAGTGTCACCCGTCAGTGTGACAGGGGTTTTGTTTGCCTTCAGGGGTAACTAACCAGTGGTGTAACTGCTAAATTGTAACTGACATTGCATTAATATAAGAAGCTTGGCTGTCACTGTTCTTCTCTTTTAGCTTTTTGTGTGTATAGAATAATTAATTTAGTTCATACCTATTCTATCCATGGTCAGTTTTATTTTATTGCTTTAAGAAGAAGTCTTAGTTAGAACCTGTACTTTCTCCTCAAACCTCTCATAGATTTATTGTCAGAAATTGTGGGTCAGGTCAGGTTAGGTCAATATGAAAGCTGAAGTCTGTGACTGTAGTGTGAGAGAGGACTAATTTGAGCATGTTGGCCACAAACCAAAGCACTCACCTGATTGGATGGGCTGTGCAGTGGAGAACAGACACCAATGTGGATAAAGAGAAATCTGGGGGGTGGTAATAGGGATACTCGTGGCGGGGGGTGGGGTTAATTCGTGATGGTGGAACTGTAGTCTTGTGTCATGTGCATATTGCCCAAGCTGAACTAGTAGCTGTTGCTTTAATTGGCACTAAGCCTTTGCCCTCTGGCCAACATGTTTTATTGACTGCAATAACTTGGCCGAGGTATCAAATGTCCTTTTGTTGCCTCCTGGGTAAACTAGGAAACCTTTATCTGTGACTTCAATTAGTAAGAGAGGCATTATTTCAAAAATAATGCAGCGCTAAATATAAGCTATTTGAGCTCTGTGAGAATATTTCCAATATCCATAAACACACAGTTAAAAATGTTTTTGTGGAAATTTTCCCACAGCAGCTAGAGTGACTCAGACAGGACGGATAAGGTGAGATGATGTAGTATGTGACAAGTTCTTGCTGTTTTGCATTACTTAAAATAACAAGAAGCACTCCGAGAGCACGAACCTCCACCATGGCAGCTCACTTTCTGGGGAGTATTTACTTTTAAGGGAATCATATTGTATTTTGTATATGTTTATTGTTTTTTCTTCTTTTTTAAAAAATATACTTTAAGAAGTTTGGACTGCAGTAAAAACAAGTGTAGAGAAAATATGTGCCCTGTTAAAACCCATTTTAACATACTTGATATAATTCTAATTATTTTTTGTGTTGATGTGGATTTTTGTTGAATTTTAAGTTTTTGATCATAAGTTTATTTTGTTTTGTCTCAAAAATACTTGATATATATTTAATCAGTTATAACAAGGTCATTATAAAATTACGGAATAAACTATACTCAAAGTATCCAGTGCCAACATGGTAGTGTGAAAAGCTACTATATAGCTCTATATAACATTGTTATCACTTTGATCTTCAAATTACTTTATTGATTGAAGGAGGGGTCGGAAGTCAAATGTGTCATGATGTTTTAAATCTTTATACACCTTCTGTATGCTGACAATACACACCACACATAAAAGAATCATAGTTATAACTTATAAGGCTTTTTGTCAATTTCCACCTAATAAATCACTGAGTTGACCTTGAAGATCTTGGTGGACGTGAGCCAAATAAATCGTTAACATGACACCGCTCTACATCCCTAGAACATTTTATCAGATTTAATTAAACATTTTTCAAACTATGGTGTTTACAGACAGAATGTATGTGTGTATATATATGTATATATATGCATATGGAGGAAATGTTGATTTAGTCTTAGTCATACTTTAGGTCGTAGTTTAAGTATCTAAATTCTTTTAGTTTTAGTCTAGTTTCAGTCGACTAGATATCACAAGATTTGTTGACTAAATTTAAAGTTGTTCCAGTGACTAAAATACAAACTGTAAAAATTTGTTGTGTTGTGAGTTTCTCCAAACAGTTTACAAAGTGTTGTAGTTTCCTTGAGATCAAATGTGATTTTTTTTTCCTGCTCTTCAGGAAAAACAGGGAGTTTTTCACACATATAATGTTACTGCACAAGGATATTACACCTGATTGGATCACTTCCAAACTCATCCCACCTTTAGGTATTGTCTCACTTTTGTCATAAATAAAAGGCTGTTGACAAAATTAGCGGTCAGCGAAATTAACACTGTTGTACATACATATGTGCACGTTCTAATGTGTACAACATTAGCTGCAACTGTTTTTTTTTTTGTTTTTTTTTGTCATGGAGATAACTGCAGATGCTTTCTGAAACCTTCTAATGTTTCTTTTCTCTTTTGTTTCCTCCCCTCTCTTCCTCTTTGTCCTATGTCTAGTCATTACCTTCAGTCTCAGTCAGAGCCCAATGCCCTGGATGCCTGTGTTTTCCCCCTGAGCAACCGGGCGGCCTCAGTCTCCAAGTGGGACACCTGGCTCCGAGTTGACCTTCACCCTGAACCCCCCAGCCCCAGCCAAGCTGTCCCACCCTGTCTCAACCCCCCTCACTTCTTCTCCTCGTTCTTCTCTTTCTCCTCCCTTCTGGCCCCCACAGGCCCATCTGGACACCCAGTCAGCCTTCTCCCTCAATGAGGGGCAGGGGGAGGCTCAGGGGTCCCTGGACGTGGACCCTCAGCCTCTTCACATTGCTTCACAGGGGTACTTAAGTGAGCTGGGACAACGAGCCCGCCATGATGTGTCAACTCTAACTGGTAGGTCTTTATTTATTTATTTTTAATAGTGGTTTGAAAGTCAGTGCCCCACCTAAATATACAAGTGAACTAAGCTGATCTGCATGTTCCTTCAGTTAATTCTGACTCAGTGTGCATCTATTAAGGCAGAGCTTCCCAAAGTGTGGGGCAGAGCCATTGCAGGAAGGGCGCAGTATGAAAAGGGGGAAAAAACCCCCAAACACTTGGACACTGCTAGCACAGGGCGCCCACACAAACGCAAAGCAGGAGATGAAGCATAGCTGAATATGTTTCCAAACCAACTTCATTCTAAGCCAAAGACTAGAAAATATGGTGAAGCATATCTTCCCTTTGGTTTCACCTGCACAAGTGTCAAGATAGGTCTCCCCTGCATAATTGGTTTTCCCCACGTCGGGAGCAGCGCTGGGCTGTCTAAATCACGGACAAACAGTATCCCACAGTTGTTTATGTTTTTGAACCCACTTTGCACAGAGAGGCATTTTTTGAAAAATGTATTGATAGCAATGTTGAATATTATTACACAGGAAAAAAAAAGTGTAAAACCTTCAGATAGTCAGATTAACAGTATTTTGTCTCTATCTGCCATTCTGCAATTCATCTCATGTAAACAATAACGTGCGCACAGCGTGACGTGAAAAAAGGCACATACCTTTGATGTTGCGTGACGAACTCTGTATTCCTCGTCCACACGTAAACGCAAAACAGGAGTTTTAAAAAATCTCCATTTTCGGTGATTCGAAACGCCGTTTACGTGTGGACGAATTTTATTACTACCTGTAATTTAATGCAAATTACTTGTATTTGCTTAATTGTTTACTAAATGTTTGAGGTGTGAAATAAACCGCAATGGAGCAAAATATGGGTGTGTGTGGTTAAAGGATGTGTGCGTGCGTGCGTGTGCGCGGGAGGTGGGGGGAGGGGACATTTTTCTTGTAAAACAATGGGGGGCCTAGCAAAAAAGGTTTGGGAACCACTGTATTAAGGGATTGCATTGCATTGCAGATTCAATCATCTGTCAGTAGAGGGCAGTGTACACTTGCAGGTGACATTGGCTTTGTTTTGGGTCTTAATGTCCACTTTCTTTCTTTGTTTTTCCTCTCTCTCATATTAATCCATACACTCATCAATCTTCATTAAAAACATACATGTGCACACAAACAATCCCCACACTCAGACCTTTGTTCAGATCTGCCAGAGCTTGAGATAGTGAGCCTCCTATCAGAGGGTCAACCCAACTACACTCTTCGAGCAGACAGTGTGTTTGGATATGACAACGACGACTGGCTGCACACCCCTCTGGTGCCACCAGAGGTCGTACTGGGACTCACACATGACCAGATTGAGGAAACACTCAAATACTTCTGTGAGTACTGTTTCATTTCAGCTCTGACTGAACTGTAAAGTTGTTGTTAGAAAGGCTATAAAAATGGATTATTGACTTCTTTAACTCTTGTTAAAGCAGCAACAAACTTATTGTACTGTAGCTGTGTGTGAAACATGCACAGTGAAGGAATTTTAAAACATTAAACATCAACACTGTTTCAGTTTATTAATACTCTGGAATGTCTTTGTTTCAAAACTCTCTTCAGGTTAAACCATCAGTTCTTGTATTAAAGTTATTACTTTAAGTCACAGGTGTCGAACTCCAGGCCTCGA